TTATTTAAAAGAACTGGTTAATTTTCCATTTCAAGAGAGCTAGATGAAGTTCATTAGGATATCTGACTCGGAGCATGTCCCACACACAAGATCATGTTAACTTCTGGGGAGGTTGTCTCGTAAATTTGTGGATGCTCCCTGAATGGAGCTCTTCGATCCCATGCACAGCTGTGCTTGGAACTGGAAGTGTGTCCCATGAGGATGGATGAGAGGGGGCGCAGGGCAGCTGTTGGCTGGGCATTCCTGGGAATGGCCTTACAGGTTGGCACAAGACCCTTCAGTTTTGAGGCTTGTAGACCAGCACCCTGGGGTGCTCACAAGGAGACCTGAGCACAAGGCTGACCCACAGCTACTGGCTGGGTCCTTGAAGGAGCCAAAGGAAAAGCATCTGAAAAGAAATGATGTTTCCTGCTCTAGAGAGCGTGGCACAGGCTGGAGCCCTTGGGCTCTATGCTTCGGACTCACGGGCTCCTGCACTAGCAGCAGCTCTGGATGTGAATGTTGAGTTCGTCGGAAAACGTGGGAAGACATGAGCATCGGTTACTTGATCAAGGTGGCAGCTTCGATGCTTTGAGGGGCAGGCTCCATGCAAGGAAATCATCATCTGAGTCCTGCGTGGTACAAGGTCGGAAGCTGCTGCCCTGGACCTGGGCTGCAGCCCCTAGGTCTCCTGGAAACCGGAAGGCAGAGCAGAGCAGCTGGTAGGGCAGAGAAGACCTCACAGCAGAGGGACCTGGCCTGTGCTCTTTCCAGGCAGCGTGGGACTCGGCTCCACCTAAGCAGGACTGGTTGTGATCCCCCATGGAAGTCAGCTCGAGTGGGGTGTTTCCACATAAGGGGCATAGGGCTGAGTCAGGAATACAAAACACTGGCAGTGCAGAGCCCTCCCCACAGTCGGGGTGTGGAGTTCTAGAGCCAGGGGCAGGAGCGCTGTGAGGACTCCATGCGTACAGCGGCAGGGCGAGGAAGCTGACTATAGTCGGGGATGCTTGCAGGAGACCCAAAATTGTGAGTGTGTCACCTCATGTGCCATGGCGGTTCCAGGGAGAGGAGGAGCAAAGGTGCTCAGGGCCAGCCGGCCAGGGCCAGCAGTGGGCGAGCAAGGTACCCCCGGGAAGCTTGGGGAAGGCATGGAGATGACGAGGAGAGTTGGAGCGCTTTATACACAGCAGCTATAATCAGCTCCTCAGTGTGATTTTCCGTGTACTTTCTAAAAGTGTTTTCTTCCCTAACCCAGAGAAACTGAAAATGTCACGTTGAGGAATAGCAAGGACATGTGATGCCTTGTAATTGTGGTCTGTAATTGTATCATTTCATAATGCCATAGCATTACACATTACAGTGCATGATAATATGTAGTTGGGGTGTATAATTGGAGGCAGTAGTAGTGATAGTTAATTAGCTAATGCTGGACAGTCTGTCAGTTCTTTTAACCAAACACCAGCAAATGGAAATGGAAATGTATCTCAGTATGCCCACAGCGAGACCAGTAAGAGGTGTGCAGATTTCCACCTTCCCCTGGGGACTGTGACAGGCTATGGGGTGACATGTGACCATCTGACACAGCTCCAAAGGGGAGGAGATGGTGGTAGGAAGAGCTAGTTTTTAGGGTTTTTGTTATGATGCTAGGGGTGGAACCCATGGGTCACATCTGCTGGGCTAGAGCTCCACCACTGAGCTGCACCCTGGTCCAGAATTAATTCTTTATTATTTTTTAGAAGATGCAAAATAAATATAAAAAGGAGCTCCAGTGGTGTTTTTTTTGGTGGGGATGTTTTGGTGTGTCTCACTATTCCAGGCTGTATATTCCTTGAGTAGAAACCAGTGTTTGTGGTCTAGTCCAGATGGTGTCCTGCACTCAGCAAATGGCTTTGGGGTGAGTGGAGTAGGCAGGGGAGGCATGGGTGGAAGATGAGTGCCAGCCCAGGAGTCTAAGGTCTCTCTGAAGGGTCTGGGTGGAGAAGTCTAGGTTTGTCCTCTTCCCAGACCATCCTCCTCTGCACGTGCTAAGTGCTGGACCAGGGGAGACATAAGCGTAAGGAGAGGCAGGCCCCAACCCCACCACATGCCTGCCCTCACGAGGGGACAGCATTTGCCTGAGGCTTCACTGTGATAGGCGCATTGCCAGACAGATGGGCAGGCCGTGGAGGAAGGTACGGGTAGGGAAGTGGAGTGCCTAGTGTTGGCAGAAGGGTGCCTTAAGCACTTGACTTACACCACCAGGTGTACCTGTGCCCCCAGGTGTGACATAGGACTTCCTGTGCCTTGGCATCAGCCCTGGAGCCCATCCGGGATCTGTGTGCCTCGACTTGCACCAGCTCCTGCCGCAGTGATGTGGGCCTCCGCTCCTCTCCCTTCACGCTGTGCTGTCTCCTCGGCCAGGCTTGCGCCCTTCCTGTGTTCCTGCAGGGTGCACGCCAAGCCGTACGTGTGGCTGCCTTGGGGTGGGGGAGGCTGCGCGGGAACCTGTGGGTCTCGCCTGGGGACACACAGCCACATTCACAGTGATGTAAGTGTGGGCCCTGCCGCTGAGAGCGCCGTCCTTTCCTTTTTCCTGTCTTCTCTGAGCCACTCCAGGGTGATGGTGAGTTCTAAATGCAGAGGAGTTTCACCATCTCTTTTTTCCTTGAGTTTTGTAAATTTGCATTTCTGGAAATCTCTTTTCTTAGTAAAAAATGCATCATTGAGGTATTTTCCAAGTCAGCGGATTCCAACTCTTGGTAGAACAGCACAGGGTGTGCTCCCTATGGGCAAGGAGGAGACCAGGTATGGGCAGCAGGAGGAACACGCTGGGCAGGGCCCAGTCAGCAAGGCCCAATGCCCTATGGTCTCCCGCCTCGGCCCTGTCTGCTGGTCTTGCATAGCCGGGTTCTAGACGCATGCTGGGGAGGAAGCCATTGGCTGCGGCTGACAGCGGCCGACAGCTAGAAGACATCCACAGATGAGAGGCGGAAATAAAATTAGAATGTGACTTCTTTGGCATCCACCTTTCAAACCTAGGCTTCGCCACTTTACTCTAATTCGATTTAGTGGATGTCAGATGGAAACTAATACAGTTAAAGAGAACTTCATGTAATCTCACTAACATCCTTACAGCCTGATGCTCAAGATTCTCTGGTCAAGGATATTTGCATTTGCATTTATAGAACAGTTAGAGCCAGGATGCAATACATGTGAAAAGTCCTTGCTTTGAGAATGACATTTCAAGCTGTCAAAATCTAATGTGCTCAAAGCTCAGGCTGAAGTGGCCTTTCATTGTGTAAATATTGAAGAAAAGGCTTTGAATGGCACCAGTGACGTTGATAGCTGGGGGACCAGCCTGCTAAACGAGGCCTGGAAAAGGCTGGCCGCTGAGTTTAGGTTGCAGCAGAATTCAGGTGCAAGAGAGGGGAGGGGATGGCAAGGCAGGACTCCCCCACCACTCTGGTGTCACTCAGCGAGGCTCCTTGAGGGAGAGCCCGTGCGGTGTGTCCGTTACTGCACTGGCCTCTTCTCCAGTTCCTCACTGTCTACCGTGAGCCATAAAAACCTGCACACTGTCTTCACATACCACCTTCTATCCAACCAAGGTTTATTTATTTATGAAACACCTGCTGTGCGCCCGAGACTCTTCTAGGCATCAGTCACAGGACTGTGGAAGCCCGGAGAGGGAGAGCCACGTGTGTCATGCATCTGTCTCACAGCCCAGACCCATGCCATGCCTTCGCGTGCCGTGTACATCTCTCCTGCTGCAGGATCGCTCTGCCCTTCTTACACTACTGCTTCTCCAAGAAATACACCCAAACCAAAGTCAGAGAGATGCTCGAGAGGCTTCTGAAATCATTCTCCGCATTTGCCAACAAGTCATACAGTTCTCTGGGAAGCCGCTCGTTTAGAAGTTTGAATCCCTTGATCATAGTTTTACATGGTACATGTATCCATGCACGTTTTTGAATTGTTTCTGCAGAGGCTGGTGGTAGGTGGGCTGGAATCCCTCAAAGGAAGAGTGGTTTTCTTTCCCCCTCGTTGTGTTTTCATCGGCACAGAGCCCACCCATCCATGGTGTTCACAGATCCCTGCCAGGGTGCAGAGCTGAGGACTCCGACTGCCCGTGGGGCACCCCGCTGTTGGGGGCAGGGTGGTCACATGCGATGCTGTCACACTTGCAAGATTCCCAGCTGAATCCTCAAGGAGCCCCGCGCCCACCTAAGCTTTCAGCAGCAACACACGGCTGTCCTTGCTGTGCGTGGTAGGTGTGTAATGAGTCTGTTCACTGGCGTTTAGCTCCAGTTTTCAACAGCTTAAACCTTTCCTTTGGGGTCCGTCAGCTGGGAGACAATCAGGCCTGCCCCGCACCTGTGTTGTTTTGACATAGAGACATCTGTCTCGTTAGCTGCTGAGGTGCTGAGGGATACAGTTGTCTCCAGCAGTTCTCGTTTCTGTTTGCTACTCTGAAAAGAAAATGTGAGTATCTGCTTTCTTAGGCTCTGGCCAGAAAGGTCTGGTAAGCATAAAATTTAGATCCCTGACAAGTCACTTCTAAGCTGGCAGAAAAGAGGTTTGATCCCATTTCGAGTCCAGCTCGTATCTCTGATTTTGAGCCTCTCCTTCTGCCCTTCATCCTAACCCTGCCTACCACATTCTGTGCCTTCAGATGTCCATGCTCCCTTAAAAAGGAAGCAACAATAAACTTCATAGAAAGATCTAAAATGTACTGGGAAAGCTATGATGCACTGGCCTTTTGGTGTATTTTTCTGGTTATGTTGAATTCTTCTCCCTTGGGTCTTGGACAGCTTCCGTCAGTTGTGCTAGTGGAGATGGAGGTGGAGGTCAGCACACCAGGCAAGACCCCCACCTCCCCAGGGCAGGGCTTGTCCTGTGCTCTCAGAGGAGGCTCTGATAGACCCTGACATGAGTGGGGAGTCGGCAGAAGAGCCACCTTTGGTTAAATGGTTCATTTGTCTCAATGGTCTGAAGAAAGTTATATGAACCACAATGAATCACGACAATTACCAGTTTAATTTCTTTTTTTACCCTGTATTTAAAAGGTTACTCTATAAATACAGGGCCTGTAGATAAAAGGTTTCTCTAAAATCACTCTCTTTGGGGATGTTTTCATTAGTCGGCATTCATTTCAGTGGGCTCTGCTCTGCGTGCCATTAGAGGTGTGTTTCATTGGTTTCTTCCCCTCACTTCTGCATTTCCTCTGTAAGAGGCAACGCCATTAACCTTAGCAGCGCTGAGCGTGATAGTCTTTCGATCAGCCCATCATTGCAAACCGCTGATCCGTAGCGTACGTTACTTAAACCACGGGTTCCTAAACAGAAAAACAGCCCTATTACCTTCCTTGGAATGGTGATAGGCACCTGCAAAATCCTTTCAGAAAGAGGATGAGCAGAAGCATTCCGGGCCCCCTGGGAATATCCTTTCTTTGATGTAAACATTGCAATAGCAGTGCCGGGGTTTCCTCTTTTACCTCCATGTGAAGCACTGATTGTGTGCCTGCAGCATTCCTGGTGCTGGTTCATATGCAGGTGGGGTGACGATGTGGGGTCTTTGCGCTGTAACTGGTGTTGGCGCAGGGGTGTGGCTAGCACTGAGGCCGCTTACTGCTGCAGGACAGTGGGGGTGTGGGTGAGCACAGTCCCAGAGCCAGTCGGGAGCAAAGGCTCTAATGTGGACTCCAGGCCGGGACTGGAAACAGCAGAGGAGGCGGTTGAGGAGGGTAGGGAGAGAAGCAGCTTCCAGACCAACAAAATAGCACCACAGGGCAAAGTGGGGTCCAGCAGTCGGAGGGGAGCATTGACAACAGTCAGTGTCATGGAGCAGATAGGAGGGTGCGCTGAAGGTCTGTGCCTGCATCACTATTTCAGCTTCTGTCTTGGATGCTCCCTGAAGCATAAGTCAGGCCCTAGACTCACAGTTGTCGAAGCTTGAAGCTTAACCCCAGCCTGTCACTCAGCCAGCAGAACATTGGTAGAAAAGACATTGAAGCTGGGCATGGTGGCACACCCTGTAAGCCCAGCACTCTGGGAGGCTGAGGCAGGAAGATTGCAAGTCGCAGCCCAACCTGAGCAATTTAGTGGCTCAGAAGACCCTGTCTCAAAATAAAAAATAAGGGTGGGGGTTTGGTGTGAAGGCACTGGGCTCACTCCCCAGCACTGGAAATAAAACAGGAAAAGATAAAAGGAAAAGCCTTGAGTTAGGAACCCAAAAATCTGGCATCTGTGCCTGTCGCTGCCATTAACTGGCTATGATTGCAAACAAGTAGCTGTTTCTCTCAGAGCCTCACCTTACTTTTCTGTCAGTTGGGGAGAATATTAACAGCTGCCAAATGTCGAGATTTGTAAATGGGCTCATGCGGAAAAGGTGCCAGGCACAGTTCTCAGCACAGAGTTACACTCAGAAAACGGAAGCTACTCCTAGAAAACATTCCGGGGCCTCACCTTACATACATTGCATGTAGCTTCAGTGGCAATGACTCAGAGTACATCGAGGGGGAAGTCCCTGCTCAGGGTGGTCGAGTACATTTGAAAATAAGATCCTGTTTATTTCCTTATTAATAGAAGCCACTGTAAAGGGAAACTCACCTGTGCTTGGAGAGCAGGTGTTTGGAGATGTTTAAGCCCAAAGCCAGTGACACTGTACTTCCGTGCCTGTCTATCATCATAGCACAACAGGGCTCCTCTGCGTGCTCACCAAGTGTTTGGGGTTCTGGCAGCCACAGACAGCCACGAGGACATGGTTTTCTCTAGCTGCAGGCCAAGAGCTAGAATTCCCCTGCGGAATCCCAGAGTGCAGGCTCTAAGGCAGTCGTAGCAAACCTATGGCTCGAGAATCACAGCAGGCACGCAGAGCCCTCTTGGTCGGCAGGTGAGCCAGGTCACCCCAGCATCGCCCCAGGAGCCGAGCTCTGGATATCAGCACACGTAGGGGCAGCATTGGCACTTTGCAGTGAATAAGTGGGTGTGGGGCTGCAGTGTGGGCACTTGGTCAGTGTCTCACTGGTTTGCCGGCCATTTTAAGAAGACTTCTGGTTGTGTCGGCACCGACCGCCGTTGTGGCAGTTTTGCGTCCATCTTTTCGTTGGTTTGTGCTTTGCCTGCTTCTCCGATCTTTTGAACTGCCCCCTGAACTCTGAAAAGACTCAGACGTTTGACATCTCGACCTAGGTCTGCCTTCAACTTTGGAAAAGAGGATTTTAACTGATATTCCCCAACTGAGGCCACTGCTTGTTAGATTTTTTTCTTAATCTTGATGTCTGTAGAAGAAAAACTTTCACTTAATGCCCAACCATTAGGAAAAGCATTTTTGTTAAAGGGAAATCTTCATGGGAAGAGCTGAAGATAAGGAATTTGTGGGAAGTGTCTGGCAACACTGGCTCCTGCAAGTTCAAAATGCTTGGTGAAATCTCAGACCATCCAAATGGAGAATCTCTCGGTCTGCTTCCTCAGATAGCCTTGTTTGTGCAGCAGCTCAGGCTTAGAACAGAAGAACAGAGGGCACACACCCTGCAGTGGGAAGCAAGCTGGTGCTGAACACTGGTTTTACCTCCTCGTAGTGGTTATGTCTTCGTTCTGTGCTTCCTGGATTATTAGTGAATGGCTCGGTTGTGGTTAATAACCAGAAAGATCGGAGCAAGCAGTCCTGTACTTCCCTGGAGAAGATTCCTCATCTCTCAGGCCTAACTGGTTTCATGCATATACTTTTAAAATTAGCTACTGAGTTTTATATTTAGGAGATCAAAGAGTTTTTAGATAACTGAGGGTTCCTGATTACATTCTCACTTTGTAAAGTCCAATTAGGGCCTCTGGAGCCAGTTCCATGAGTAGACGTGGTCCCCTCAACAAACAAACCAACGAAGAAAAATGCTTTTATTATTTGACGAATGTGGGACACAGCTCAGTAGTAGAGCACCAGGCCAGCATAGGGAAGGCCCGGCCTCTGTACCCAGCCCTGGGAACCCCAACAGACACTTGTTTACCTTTGCCATATTCATTTTCTGCCTTTCTACAGTTACTATCACAAGCACAGTTCATCTGGATGATTATATTTTTATATAGGCAGTAACAGTAATAGTAGTATTTATACCAAGTTATCCACTGCTGTTCTACTACACACTTTCCTGTGTGTTGTCTCATGGGATTCCTGCAGATATTCTAGTTATGTGATCTTTAAATGGACCTGCACCTACTTCTCTGGGGTGGGAGCATTAAGCACATTAAATCTTAAAAGATTGACACCTATCTGAAGTTTTTAAAACCTAGGCTGCTAACACATTAGACTCCAAGAATTCTGAACACTATAATAGGCATAATAATGTTTTAGAAAGTGCCATTAAATACAGCTATTTCTGTATGTTTGTAGACAGCCCAAGGAGATTTAATAAACTCATTAAAATAATTCTCTACAATGAATCGCTCACTACAACCACCTTAACTTCTGTTAAGGGTTATCTCTCATAAAAACATCCTACTAAAATTGTGCTCTTTCTAGTTACCAACTGTACCTACACATGTTTATACATACATATATACACAAATATATATATATATATGTGGGTGTGTGTGTGTGTAAAAACCATTTGTATAAGGATCAGCAGCCTTGAAGAATGTGTACAGCAAGATAGAAAAAAATCAGCAGGTAAAAAGTGAGTATTGGGAAATTCGTAAATTGGAGTACAAAAGGTAAAATTAGAGAAAAAAATCGAATGAAGATTCAACCACATGGTTCTCTGTAGTTAGATACATTGGAGATAGCATTTCGGTTCTCAATTTCCTGGCAGCCAAAAGGGAGAAACATCTATGATGAATCATGTGGGTCTCATTACCCATGAGAAAACAAATGCCAGTACCTGGTGGAAAGAAGGCACACCCTGACACTTGGTTCTGACGAATGCCGAGGTCTGAAGGAGCAGCTGTGCTGTGGAAGTAGATGCTCCGAGGGCCCAGCAACCACATGCTGAGACGGAAACACTCTCGTGTGAGTGACAAACACATCCCGAGGGACCCTTAGAGGCAGCTGGGCTCCAGGTCTATCAGGAAAGGGATCAGCTCTGGAGAAACTCTGGAGAAGTAGCTGGTCTCACGTGATTTCCTCGAGGCAGACTCGATTGGGCCTCCTATGGTTGGCTCTGGCGTTTGTAAGAGCTGGTGTTTGCTTGAGGACTAGATCCCTGTCCTTCCCAAAAGAAGCGGGCAGTGTGGCCCTCACAGGTGGAGCCCAGAGCCCTGCGGGCAGGGCGCTCAGGTAGCTGCCCTGGTGGGGTGCTGTGCAGAGGTGTTTGCCTTTCGGGTAGTGAACACACCCCCTCCACGGTGTCCTCCAGTGGCTTGAGGAACCTTGTAGCGTGGGTGATGCCTCTGTCGTTTAAAGAAAAACACATTTAGAAGGCAGGCCTTCTCAGAGAGACAGCATCTGATGTGATCACCCTCAAGCAGAAGCGCTGGAGCTCAGATTCTTGTCTGCAAGCAGTTTCTCCAAGAGTGGGAAGAACCCGGGGCTTTTCCAGGGTGGGGCAGGCTTTGTCACCTACAAACGCAGACAGCAGTGCCATTTCCTCAGTGCTGTGGGCAGCCCTCGATGCACTGCTGACCCCATGACCTTTGCCTGGAATCTCACTCCTCTGTGAGGAGGCCTTGCGTTTACACCATCACTGTTACTCAGGACGGAAAGCAGTCGGTAGGGAGGGATGTTTGGACAGCTGTTGTCTCCAGTGTGAAGGGTGGAGTCTCCCTTCCGACCTTGCTCTGCAGGGAAGTGTGGGTTGGGCTCCGTGTCCTCACCCAGCCCTGGTGCTGTGGACAGGTGTCTGCACTGGGCGTGGCCCTTGGTTGCAGCCATGTGGGACATGTTGCAAGCTGTTCATTGTGATGTTCCACATTAGGGACAGCAGTGTGAAAGAGCGCTCCGCTCTGCAGACCCTGAAACCTTAGCTGCGGTTGCCAGGGAGTGGACTGCCTCACATCTGCTCCTCAGAGGCAGCAAGGAGGGCCTGGACAGTGACTGCAAGGGAATGTGCTGCAGTGAGGGTGCAGTGTAGTTTCTAAGAATCCTGTTTTTATGGAAATCCCCCTTCGACCAAGGACAACAGAGAAAACATGTGGTGCACGATGGGTAAGTCGTTCCCCAACAGGATGTTTGGCTTTTTGTGTTTAGTCTTCGCCCATAGTAACAATTATAATGAATGCATAAAAAATAAAAGCACGCAGACCTTGTGACCTGTCTTATAATCAGCACAAATCAGTTCTGGAGCAGGAAAATCCAGCTGCATATTAGTTTTATTAGATGTTCCCAAACATTTTATTACAATATTTTGGGAAAAACATCCACAAACAAACCTAAGTTTTCAATGTGTTTTCTATTCAATATGTATTTTATTTTTAAAGGGTAATTAAACAGTATGTTTATAATTCCTTTGTTCTTAATTCATCAAAATGCTGCCTTTTGGGGAAATGATTTCAGTGTGGGAAGATTATTTGTTCCAATAACCTGTTCTTAAAAAGGGGAATGCATCTTTCACACCCATGCCAAGGTTCTCCAAACTATAAAAATGCTTTTAAAAGTTCAGACCATTACTCTTCAGTTAGTTTTAATGATATTGAAATGATCTTTTTCTATTCTGATGGTCACAATTGCTACAATTAATTGAACAACTAACAGCTGTGCACGCTTTGTCTGCTTTTTAAAAATCATTTTTAATCCCATTTTATCAATGAGGAAACTGAGGTTCAGACAGACTAAACCCTTGTGCAAGCCAGATGGCTCCTAACTGGCAGAACGGAATGACTCAGAGCTTCCTCCAGCTGTCAGCAGGCAGTTCTTGGAGGCTCTTTTGCCCCAGGCGGCTTTCTGGGTTTGGGGATCCAGGAGCTTATGATGGGCTGATGGAGACAGGGACTGAAACGACACCAGGAGAGCACAGGGTGTGGGGGGCAGTGAGTGCTGCGGAGAAAGACGAGGAGCTGTGGGCTGGGGCTTGAAGGAGCATGGGCGCCACTCAGTGCTGAGATGCTTGCATTTGAAGGAGACCCTGGCAGGCCTCGTGAGGCTGGTGTTGCTTGAAGGAGCAGGTGGGGAGCAGGGGAGAGGAATTAGGAGGAGAACTGGGCTGAGGAGCTTGTGGAGGTCTGGATCACCCACCCTTAAGTCTCCACTGAGAAGCTTGGGTTTCTAAAAGGTTTCAGGGTGCAGGGGCACCTGGCTCAGGTCCCACTCGGAGACCACGAGGCTGCGGGGAGTCTTGGGCCTGAACACCCAATGGCGTGGGCTGCACTCACAGGACCTGAGCGTGGAAGAAGCAGGACCTCTGTATGGACACAGGCCCGATGGGAGAAAAGGGCACAGAGGGGACTCCTGCAGGGAGCCAGCCGCTTGGGGCAGATCCACATGAGCTTGAGTGCGCTCAGGGGGGCAGATGGCCTCTGGTCAGCCCCTGCCTTGAGTAAGTAGAGCTTGTCCACTCATCTGAGAGAAGAGTGGGAAGGAGGCGGTCTTCAGATAGGGGCTACTTGTCCAGCAGGGTTGAGTAGGCTCTGTGGGACCGTGAGAGTTCTGGGGGGGGGGGCAGGAGGTGCAGTTAGGGCCAGAGAAGCCAGAGCCTCTGCTTCCTGCCCTTTGGAGAAGTAAAGGTTCAGCCTTCTAAGAAATTTCATTTGTGTCACACACACATCCTCCCGGAGATGCCCAGATCTGTGAGGAAGAAGTAATGAAAGAACCAAAAGGTGCGGCCTGCACTTTCTGCTACCTCAAGGGGGGAGGCAGGGAAAGGAGGCTGAACCCAAGTCTCAGGTGTGCACCTAGCCCTGCGCTGCCTCACTGGGTGCCTGTCTTGTTGCAAGGGAGGATGTTTTCAGATGTGAGCTGTAAATAGCATTCTTACCCGAATAGAAGTCAAGTAGATTCTATTTGCTTTTCACGTTTGACCCATGCTGATCCCTTACCCAAATCCCTGCTGGACTCAGCAGTAGTGTGGTGTGAAGTACAGTGCAGTGGGGAAGGAGAGCAGGCTGGGCTGCTGTAAAGTTACATGGGGCTTTAGGAGGGTGAGGCACAGTGGCCCCATAGCAGAAGTCGGGGGAAGGGAGGCGTGCGACTGCTGGGTGTGGGGATGGGTTGTGGTGTTCCATTGTGCGGTAATCCCAGCTACTCTGGAGGCTGGGCAAGATCACGACCAGTCCAGGCAAGTTAGCAAGACCCTGTATCAAATAAAAAATAAGCAGGACTGGGATGTAGCTCACTGTAGCATGTCCCTGAGTTTGACACCTGTACTGCCAAGGAAAGGTTTCGTACTGAAGTAGCTGGAAGAGAGCTTTTTGGTTGTTTTCACCATTTCCTAAATGAGGAAATGTTTAAGGCAATGGATATACTATTATACTGATTTGGTCATTACACAATGTGTACACATTGTACCCAGTAAAAATATATAATTGTATGACAATCAAAAGAAATTAAAACAAAAAGGGAGAAATGGAGATGCAGTAGAGAAGAAGAAAGACAGTAAGCAAGAGAGCCAGAGGTGATGGAAAGGGAGGAGGATACTGAAGGAGCTGCAGAGCAGAAAGAAGCTGGAGTCCAGGAGCCTCTGAGTAAGGATCGGGGCCACGGGCAGTCAGTGTCTTCTCATGGTCCTGGGGCATCAGGCAAGGGGTCCGTCAGGCCAAGAGGGCCTGGGAGCCCCGTCACCATGGAGGTCTCAGCCCCCTGCACCAGCCTACAGCTGAGGAACAGATCCGGGGCATTGCAGGCCACACTCTAGGGACAACGAAGAAAGCTATGTTCACTGTGAAAGGTGGACTTGAGGCCTGGCTGCCTGCCCACCTGCCATCGAGGGACTCCTCTCCCAGTCCAGCTCAGGAACTCACAGCCAGCCCTGTGGCTGCTGTCCTCGACATGGCTCTCTGCCCGCCCTCTCGGTGTTTCCTGTCACCCTCAGCTTGTGAGGGGGAGCTGGGCGACTTGGCAAGGAAGATCTCAGGCCCTGCTGTTATTTGTGGAAGACTTCTTGGCTCACCACTCCTCTCCGACACTCGCCATTGTGGATCAAGGGGACCTGCAAAGCGGGGCTGGCCCTGCACCCCTGGCATGGGGTCCTTGTCCAGGACTGCTCCCCTCACACACCGTTGCCCACACAGTGGCCCAGGACCCCAGGTTATCTGCAGAGCCCACAGTCCTGTGCAAGGTCATGCGTGGTCCTGTGGCCTGTCGTCTCGGGCCACAGCAGCTCTGATGAGGAGAGCTTTCCTGTGCCCCAGTGTGTCCTTTGAGGGTGTCCTTTTCTAACTTCACTTGCTTCCTCTGTCACCCAGCCCACACTGTTCATCTGGAAGAGCACAGGGGGTGGGTTTGCGGAGCAGAGCGGGTCACCTGTGGTAAATTAAAG